ATTGATCCTCCTATATAGGATATTTAAGTGATAATATAAATACTATTATACATTCATAAGAAAAACCTTCAAATTGAGATTTTGAAAAAATTAACTAAATAAATTGATGCAAGGACTTTTGTTATATCTTTTCTTAAAGTTCAAATCTTGTTGATAATTGTAAATTAGTTGAGCATTAAAAAGTACTTAGCTAGCAAATTAAACAGTAAAGTTATAACCCTATCTCAAATCATTAACAATCCATCTAAATTCCCAACTCAAGTTAAGAAGCACCTGTTATAATTTGCATCAAGCCATATCTTTTAAATTCTCTCATTTGAAATCTTTACAGTTTAGTTTCCTAAACTTACTACCATGTCTACTTTATGAAAATTTTATAAGAATAGATTATTTATTTATTTCTTTTTATACTTGCTAATTCAGCTATGTATATTAACTTCAATGGTTGATCAGAGAAATGTTTCTTGGAAAAAAGATAATTTATATGCTACAACACTTGAATTTAGGCTCCTAAGGCAGCATAGCTACAAAGTAACTCAAGGTAAGGATAGTAAAAAATTTTGTATAAAAGAGAACTTGAGCTTAGTTTAGCTTTTAGATGTTATCATCCTACAGATCTAGAGTTTGAATTTATAACTCTTTCTCTTATCTTTAGACTCTGGCCTCCTTTTTATGAAAAAAATTTGCATAAAATAAAAATTTTTTGAAAATTTTTATACATGCATAGATTTTCTCTAGTTTTATTTATTAATAGGGGAAATTTCAAGGCAGATCTTTACAAAGATTGCAAAGGGTTACTTAACTTGTATAAAGCTTTATACCTTTTGGTAGAGGGTGAAAAAATATTGGATACTGTAAGAGATTTCATAACTAAACATCTCAAGGAATACCTAAAGCAAAACAAAGATCAATATCTTTCCTTACTAGTGGACCATGTTTTAGAACTTCTGCAGCATTGTACGGTGCTAAGGTTGGAAACTAGGTGGTTCATAGGTGTGTATGAAAGAAAAAAGGACAAAAATCTCATCTTTTTGGAGCTTGCGAAATTGGACTTCAATATTGTGCAAGCTGTGCACCAAAATGATCTAAGATATGCTTCAAAGTAAGTGCATCAATGTTTAAATTTAAGAATAATTATCTATTTAGTGACTTAAATTTTTAAGATATTTTCCTTTGATTTTTTTGTTAATTTCAAAGTGTAATAATTAGGGATAAAGTGTCTAATATTTAATATTTAATATTTAACTCAAATTATAATCTAAAATTAGTTTTCATTTTGATATAATTTTATTGGTTGAGAACCTTTAGTAATAATAATTACTTGTTCCTTGTAGCTATGGATGAAGAAATTATCAGTGCAAAGTCTTTGCAATTTGATTTTGGCACCATTAGAACTACAATAAATAACTTTTTTGATGAAAATAAATGGATGAATGTGCCTTACTTCATTTGGGAAGAAGCTGTGTTTTTTTTTTTTTAAGTATTGTTCGTCAAAGTGCAGAGTCTGGGATAATGAAGTCATTAATGAAAGTAGTAATTAGAGTAACGAGGGTAGCATATCTGATCAGTCTTGTGATGAAGAGAAGTCAATCAACGATCAAGGGTTGTTTCTAAATCCTTATAAACATAAACACAGCCCCTTGAGGCAGAGAAATCTTTAAAAAATTAACTTTACAGTTTATACGATAGGCGAGCAAAGAAGAGATAGGTCGCCTATCAATAACAGTTATGGGCTGTTAAGATGGGTTTAGAGTTAACTAGGATTGAGGGAGCAAGAAAGGGCACTGCAGATGGGTTTTTTTTGTTGAAATGAGAGAGATAAAGAGAAAAAGAGAAAGAAAAGAGGGAAAGAAGAAAGTAAAAATTTAGGGTTTTTTTAAGTTAAGGGTGAAATAGTAATTTTATAAATAAAATAATAAAATATATAATAGAAAAGCTTGATTGGGCTCGTGAGTTATTCGAGTCGGGTACTAATATGCTCAAACTTGGTTCGTTTGATAAGTCGAGCTGCTCGAGTTCGAGTTCGGCTCTACAATTATCGAATTAAATTTGAGTTTTAATCGAATCTGAGTATTTTACGAGTACTAATATATCATTTACATCCCTAGACTAAACCCGAAGTTCCACCTAGCTTTTTTTTTTTTTCTATTTTATCCTTCTCTTTTTTATTTTTTCACACTTATTTTTTTCAAAATTCTTTATGTAAGTTTTCAATTGCATTTTTTTACAAAATCAAATTTTTAATTTTTAATTATTTATTAATAAAATTATTATTTGATATAAAAATAATTTAATATTTTAAATTATTTATTAATTTTATAAATATTAAATAATTTAAAATTTTTATTATATTTAAAATATAATATAATCCACTTTGTTATCATTGTTGTATTTGAATTCAAATGTATATCTCTATTATTAATTTTAATATCACCATTATAATATTTAATTTTATCATTATAATGATTAATCTTACTTCTATTTTTATTTTTAATTTCAACAGAATCAATGTCCAAAATGAACTCTTAATTCGATAGAAAACAAGTAATGACAAAATCTATGTTGGCCACAAAATGAAAGCATCTTTTATATTTTGTTTAGTTTCTTTCTTGTTTGCTGCCATATTAAAAAAAAAAGTAAAAGACATACAAATAGAAATTTAATTAGTTAAAATTAATAATAAAATGATTTATATTAAAAAATCATAGTTATACTAAAAACAGTAAAAATAGTTGGTGAAAGAAAATCAAAATTTGCAATTAGTTCTTATAATTATATGAAATTTAAACTTTAATCTGTATACAATAATTTGTAAAAATTAGATTCTTATATTAGTTTAATTTAATAATGTTGTCTAATTGATAATAATATTACTTGATTTTCATTAAATTAGCTGACATGACTATTAGCCATACTTATATAGTCATTGACTTAATGATGTGGCATTAACTTATTGATGTGGTAATTGAAATTGATAAAATCAGTTGTTAAATTATGCAAATGATCTTTATACTCATAAAAAATTTGAAATTTAATCCATGTACTCACAAAAATTTAAATTTAATCCCTCAAATACAAAAATATTTTGAATTTTTAAAAAATTATTAATTTTTTAAAAACATTAAACTTTAAAAATTGCTATAATATTCTCTTATAATATTCTATCATAATATGAAAATTTTATCACAATATGTAGTCACAATTTTCATATATTGTTAATAAATCTATCACAATTTTTTGTTATCCATGTGAAATACTATTATTAGTTTTGTCACTATTTCTCGTTACATTCTATCATAAAAAATAAATTTGCTATTAATTTTATCACTTTTTGCTATATGTAGTATATTATGGCCATAGGAAAAAAAATCTTAAATCAATTTATTAAAAATCTATCATAAATTTGTAAATGCATGATACAAATCTATCACTATTTAATTTTAATAAAACTATTATTTTTTTTAATTTATCTAATGAATTAGAATTATAATTATATCTCGTAAGAGTAAAATTATCCACAAAATAATGTTTCTATTCCTTTAAATTAAACCTTATTTAAATGATTTTTTTATAATCAAATATAAGTTCAAGATTTTAAATACATTAAAATTAATCTTATTATTTAATTAAACATAATTATTTAAATAAGTTTTTTTTAAAACCTAAAAAATTAAAAATTCTTATTATGAGACACAATATTGATTTTTGATTTATCAAATAAATCATTTTCTTTTTTCATTTTGTTAGAATTCAAAATTTATCCTTCAAATGGGTAGGAGTTTGTTTTTCTTAAGAATCTAAATTTGAATCTTTTATTTGATTTGGTTGGATAGAATAATCATTTCATTCATAGTTTATTTCAGATTCATACAAATGCAACTCTATGCAATAATTTTATTCATTATAAATTTTGTTTGATGATACATTTATACTAATTAAAATAATATTAAGTTTGATATATTAATTTAAATTATTAATATTATAATTGATTAATATAAATGATAATGATATTATTATTAATAATTAATAATATATAATAAAAAGTAATATATTAAATGAACTAAAATATTTTTAAACATTAAAAAAATTCAAAATTTTTTTATATTAGAAGAATTAAATTTTAAATTTTGTGTGAGTATAAATCGCATTTTAAATTTCATGCGAATACATAGATTAAATTTTAAATTTTGTATGAATAAAGATCATTTGTATAATTTAATAACTAATTTTATTAATTTTAATTATCATATCAATAAATCAATATCACATTAATATGACCAATAATCACATCAACTAATTTAATAAAGATAAAAAATACTTCTATTATCAATAATTATGTCAACTAATTTAATAGAAATAAAATAATTCTATTATCAATTGAATTAATAGAATTAAAATAAATTAATATGAAAATTTAATTTTTAAAAATTATTATATAAAAATTAAAATTAAAATTTCATATAAATATAGAGCCTAATTCCGGTGAAAAATAATTCACGGGTGAGATAGAGGGTCTAATTCTAGTTAAAATTAATAATAAATAATTTTATTTAAAATTTAATATGAATAGAATTTAATGAAGCTGGTTGCTAGCTGAAAAAATGGGCTGACTTTGAATTAAGGGGTCCCCACACCTACTCGCCACTCAACCTATAGGCCACAGGTCACTGATCCAAAAATTCCAGGTACCTGTTTTTCTAGCACTAATTTAATGGAAATTCAGAAAAAATGAGACCGATCAAATCTCTAAAAAAAAAAAAAAAAGCTGTTTGGTCTTTGGCAGTAATAAACTAAACGACCTTTTTTAGTACTCAGCAAACAAAGACAAAAAACAAACCCAGTTAAAGCGAAAAGTCAACAAGGGCAAGCTGTTGCCTTTTTCTATGAGAGCTTATTTCTTTTATTTATTTTTGTATATATTTTTTTGTCACTTTTCTCTATATGAGAAAAGAGGAGAGAGTCAAAGAATTGGGCAATTCAAGTCCTTTACAGCTGTGGGTTTTTGTTTTTGTTTTTTTTTTCTTTATTAAGTTTTTTTTTCTTGGGAATTGGGTAGTTTTGGTGGATCAGTAAGGAAAATTCTAAGATATCCATCTCATGATTTTGTGTGTATATATAATTTTTTTTGTTTGTAGGAGTTTTGTGGGGTTTTAAGGTTGTTGTTTTTTTGCCTGTTTTGATGATCAAGATTGTTTTATATCTTTCTTTGATTATGCAGGTTTAGGAATTCTTGGAAAGAATTATTTTCGTTTAGATGTTGAGTGGTAGCAAAAGAGGGTGAGAACTCTGGAGGGGGGGGGGATTGAATTATATGGATAATCTATGTTGCTTCAACTCTGTCTATTCTCAGGTCAACATATCTCCACTCTCTCGGCAATTCCTTTTTTAATTTGTAGTTCTCAATTTAAACTCTATATCAGTTTCCTAGTTGTTTCATACTATGTTTATATATGCTTGGATATCTTTGGTTGGTGATTTAGTTAAATTTTGCTAGGGCATGATCTTGTTTAGTGTTAACTTTATGGCAGATTTTGTGTTTATTTTACTTTAAGTGCTATATTAGCTCAGCACCAAAGTTTCCAGGGTGAAAAAGGGAGAAATGAAACAAGAAAGAGAATAACCAATGGATGTTGGCTCAAGTGGCATGAGAGTTTGCTCCTCTCTTGGCTGCCTGGGTTTGAATCCGTTGGGAGGCCTTGGGAAGGTAATTTCTAATGAATTCATTAGTCCCGGTGTTACTAAGCCTGCTTGGACCGGGATGTACTGGGCGAAGCCTAGGAACCCCTTACTTTCAACCAAAAAAAAAAAAAAAAGAAAGAGAATAGTCATCATGTCTGGCTTAGATGATTGTGCATTGGAACAGTGAGATTGAAGAATGATTTAAGGAGAAAAAGAGATAACTGGGAATTTTTTCTTTTATGTATTATTTCAGTAAAACAGGTTACCTAGAGAGAACACTGAAAAATAGGTTTGAAACAGGTTTGATGCATTTTTTTTCTGCAGTGTTTTCATTTATTCTGATATCACATGCAAAATATGGAAAATATACCATATTGGTTTTTCTATTTATGATTCATTTAGGGTTCTTATTATCTGTTTTACTCAGTTTGCATTTGTATTCTTTTTATTGTTTGGGTTGGATTTCTTAAAAGGCTTTGGAGAATATCACTAATTTTGTCCTTGCATTTTTTAATACTGTTACATTTACTAATGAACTTATCATTCCTTTAGCTCTGGTAGGAATTTTTTTTTAAATATCATAAAAGCATTAAGACAGATTTTCTGTTCCTAGTTTTTGATAACAGCTAATGGAATCTGACCCTGAGATAAGTCTTCCTGATTTCCCTGGTCCATGTATTTTTTGGGATTCAGTTAAATGTTTTCTTATCTATTATTCAATTTTGAATTTGATGCTGCTGTTCTTGAAGCACGTTTCTATGAAAATTTTTGCTAATATGGTTTGTTAAATTTCTTCTGAAGATACTTGTGGGCTTCCAGTTCATTCAACCTTATCATATCATTCATCAGTTTGCTTTGTGTCTTTCTTTTTTTAATATATTAAAATACTATGGAACTGCTTCACTATTTGTTATTGTAAATTTCCTCCTGGCAAATTATGATTATTATATTTGTCAAGTTTCTTTTCTTATTCCAATTTTCTGAAATATCCTTAAAGTTATTATTCTTCTCCTTAGGTTGTTGGAGGGCGTTCTTCATTTAGCTCTGGAAAAGGCAGAAGCCATCAGGGCCCTGTCAAGTATGGCTTCACCCTAGTGAAAGGAAAAGCAAATCATCCAATGGAGGATTATCATGTTGCAAAGTTTGTTCTACTTCAGGGACATGAACTTGGACTTTTTGCTATATATGATGGCCATTTGGGAGACAGTGTACCTGCGTATCTGCAAAAGCATTTGTTTTCCAATATCTTAAAGGATGTGAGTTCTTGATCACTCAAACATGAATAACTGCTTGGGGTTATCTCTGGTGATTGGAATATGGAGATATTGGGTAAAGAATAACTTGCCTTTTGCAATACCAGGGATAATAAGCCAAAAATCCTGTTTTTACAAAATGACAGGCAAATGAATAAGTTTTAATTGGCTTTGAAATGATTGTTCTGTGATATTGGTTGTTCTGGCCCCACCACCCTGGCTACATGTATGGGTTGTTCAAATGTGTCCTTACCTTGTGTTATATAAATTGCAGGAGGAGTTTTGGACCGATCCCAACCAATCCATCTCCAAAGCCTATGAGAAGACAGACCAGGCAATTCTTTCACACAGTCCTGACTTGGGACGAGGGGGATCCACTGCCGTCACTGCAATTTTGATAGATGGGCAGAAATTATGGGTAGCCAATATTGGAGATTCACGTGCTGTTCTCTCAAAGAACGGGCAGGCAATACAGATGAGTATTGATCATGAGCCCAACATAGAGCGGGGAAGCATTGAGAACAGAGGTGGCTTTGTCTCAAACATGCCAGGTTATTTGACAACTACACTATGCTTATTTCTAATTTTCTCTTGTAAGGAATTTCGTTTTATTGAATAAAAGTTTTTTTTTTTTTTTTTTTTTGGTGAGGCTCACATATTCTATGGTGATCCATTTTATACCCATATGACAACTACTTGGAGAGTTGGAGATATGTTTCTGATTCATGCCAGGTTTAGGTGTATGCATGACAAATACTTAGACAGTTAGACTTAATAAAAAGCTTATAAAACGGAGAATGATAATCTCTCTTACTATATTGGTTTAGTTATTGCTCTTTTTCTTTCTTTTTCCTATTTGGTTGTGTGTGCTAGTTCGTTTTCTTTTCCTTTTGGACTGTCTTCTCTCATCTAGTTGCTGCTCTTGTGAAATCCTTCTGAATGCAAATTAATCAGCTCTAAACTTGTCTATGAGAATAACTTACTGATGCTGTTCTTGATTACCTCTTTCATGATAATTGACCTTGTTGCATTTTATCCCAGGAGATGTTGCAAGAGTGAATGGCCAACTTGCTGTCGCTCGTGCTTTTGGAGACAAGAACCTTAAATCACACCTCCGATCTGATCCTGATGTACGAAATGCTGATATTGACTCAGATACTGAACTTCTCATCCTTGCAAGTGATGGACTATGGAAGGTGATCCATCTCTCTTCGAAGACGGAAAATTTCTCATGTTATTAATTTTTCTTCTCATTCTATATACACTTGAATCCAGGTCATGTCCAATCAAGAAGCAGTTGATATTGCAAAAAAGACCAAAGACCCGCTGAGAGCAGCTAAACAGCTAGCCGTGGAGGCATTGAACAGAGACAGTAAGGATGATATCTCCTGTATTGTAGTTCGTTTCAAGGGATAAACAAAAACTGAAGACAGTTCCACAATTGCATAAGATACGAATCAATGGGCAAAACGCAAACTCCGTCTAGCAATCTCATGGTGCAAATTCACTATCCGATATTTCTCTTTTGTAAAATTAATGTTCTAGTACTTAGGGTCGTGCTGCTTGATATTTGCTTTTTTTCTTCAATTTGTAGATTCGTTCCATCATTTTTGTGTATAATTTGCATTGCACCTCTGAAGCCATTGAAAATTACCTGGATTTCTATAAAGCTGCGTGGATGCATGCAGTCACTATAATAGCACGTATTATATGGCTGAAAAAGCTCCAATCTTTTGAAACCAGATTCGTCTCCTTGGGTCTTACAATATGAATAAGAAAATGGGTAAACCATAAAGTCATTTTACTTTAATTTGTTTATTGGCCATGCATATATATATTTATATATATTTATTTTTTAATAAAAGCAGTCATTGTCGAGTTGGAAATTTAGTTCATAAATGACATTTAGAAAGAATGAGATTCAAATTCTACAATTTTTTTATTCTTATGTTGGTTTTTTTTTTAAATGTCATTTGTTGACTTTTTATTTATAAAAATTTTATATTTTGATTTCTTATTTTATATTTGCAATTGATAAAAATATTAAATAAATATTAAATAAATTAGTTGGTACTTGTTTTTAAAATTTTTTTTAATTTAAAATGTTTAAAAGAATAAAAATCAAAATTAAAAAAATTTGAATTAAATATTCTGATACAAATAAAATTAAAAGTACAAACATTAAAATGTTTGCTAAATAATATGTGGATATATTTACCTTTTTTATTATATGTGTATTTATTTATTAAAATTAATAAATAATTAAGAATAATATTTTAAAAATAATTAATTGATTACAATAAAATTAAAAAAACCATGCCGAAGTTACACACCTATTTCTGAACCAAAGCCACAAAGAATGTGAAAAAAAAAAAATAAATAAAGCCACAAGCAAAGAGTCGGCGCGTTGTGTTCGTGTCATGTTGTCGTTACTTCTCTCTTCAAAATTAATTTATCAGGATGTATAATGCTATAAACAATTTTTTTTTCATGTTTGACGTAAAATTAAATTATCTTATTTAATTTTATATATATATTTTTCATTCAATCTCATGACTGCCTTCGTCACCAAAATTAACCGCTTTGTTTATCTTTTTCAAAATATTTGACGTGAATCAAACTATTTAACATTTATTCTAATATCATTATCACGTGATTATTATTTTTTTTCCTCGAAATCGACTTATTAAGATGTGTAGTACTAATTTTTTTTAGATCTCAATGATTTTCTTTTCATATCCGAATTGAATAACCTTTACCTACTGACATTTGCGCACGCTTAACCATCTACAAACACGGTGGCATATTCCAATTTCTCTCTTTGATCAAAATTCTTTGCCTTGAAAGTTAAAACCCTTCCAAAACCCCTTTAGCCTTTTTTTTTTCACGCCCTTTATTTTCTCTCTTATTTTTTTTGTTTCCACTTTCTCCGAATCCGATCATGTCAAAAACGCTGAATCTAATAAAACCCAACGCTTCCAACCCCAAGGTTTGGATCGTGGCAGAAATAACAGTGGCCGGAATCATAGTTCTGGCAGAGACCGGTAAAAGGAGGAGGAAGGCGATGATAATCAAAAGAGAAGATTTCGGCGCTTTTTTTTTTTTGGAACGCTTCGAGTTAATTCGTTTCCCTCAACCGCCACCTTCCGCTGCCAAACTCCATTATCTGGTCTTACGGTTGCCATCAAGGACGTGTTCGTAATTCCACCACTCTCTTTCCCATTTTTATATTTTCTTTGTTTTTTCCCATCGTTCATTTATTTTTCTTTTTTAATGATTGTAACAGATTTGATGTGAAGGGTTACGTAACGAGGTTTGGGAATCCGGATTGGCGGAGAACACAAGTGCCGGCTGATAAGACAGCGGTCGTGGTTACTGCATTGTTGAAAAACGGGGCTAAATATGTTGGCAAGGCGGTTATGGACGAACTGGGTTTTGGGTAACTTTTTGTTGTTTTTTTTCTTTTCCTGTGCAGGAAGAAGGGTATTTGCCAAAATTTGATAGAATTTTTTTTATTATTAGAATAACTGGGGAAAATAATCATTATGGAACACCTACAAATGCGAATATGCCGTCAAATGTTCCAGGAGGATTTTCAAGCGGTTCTGCTGTGACAGTTGCAGCTGAACTTGTGGACTTTGCTCCCGGTAACTTCTGTCCTCCACATTCTCAATATTACTCCGGACAGCTTTTCCCAGTTTGTTGTGCTTTTCTTTTGTCTTTTTCATGATTAATTAGTTCCTAGCCTGGAATGGTAGCTTTTCTTTTCCATTTCCATCCAGAAAGGAACTCTGCAGACTCTTTTTGATGAATCTTGTTGATACACAGGTTGTTTTGTTCTTAGTGTTATCTGAGCATAGTAGGCTTTTTCATGACTTTTTAGGTACTGATACAATTGGCTGCCGGAGGGAGAATTCGAGCCTCATTCTGTGGTATTCTTGGGTTCCGTCCATCACATGGAGCTGTATTGTAATGTGGCGTTCTTGTTCCTTTACAATTGGACTTCTGAATTCACAAAATTTGGATGCTATCAGTATTGTAATTTGGCCTTCTTGTTTAGATTGTTAAGATGTTTTATTTTTGCAATGTTTCCTTGTTATTTAGATTGTTGAGATGTTTGTTGGATTTCCATGCAGATAATATCTGTTGCTATCTTTAGCTAATCTCGATTATAATTATTTCAATTTACTTTGTCTTTACCAGTTTTTACTAAAGTGTGGTGCAACTGAATGCATGATATATTTAATGAATGGATGCCACCTCTGTAAACAGAGCAGACAATTGTGCCCCTCTGGGTTTGTGGCATAAGTCATTGCTGTTCTATTATAAGAATGGCCGGTTCAAATAATTAATGGGCATTTAAGATTCTAATTTCTTGTTTAGCATTAAAATTCTGGAGAGTTCACTTTTCCTTCTTCAAGATTTCCTTGTTACTTTTTATTGATTTCGTCAAATGATGATGCTTAGGGATGGTTTGCTGATGATCCCATCTACTCTTCATCGCATTGGACAGGTTTTACTTCAACTAAAAGCAGTGGAACTAGAAGGGTAAGGTGCCTTGTGTTTGCCGATGATCTATTCCAGCTGTCAAAGGTTCCCTAGCAAAAGACAGTTTATGTTGTTAGCAAAGCAATTGAAAAGGTGTTGCATGTCCTTCAAATTTTATTCATATCAGTTCCAATTTTTTTTTGGTCTGAAATCATGATCCTACTCTGCTGCTGCTACCTCTTCTGTTACGATGGTGTGAATTTTACTTTTTGATGCTTCTGCCTCTTGTTGATTGCGCAGACCATCCTCCAAAACTTATCAATTTTTCTCAGTATATTGCTTCAAATGTACCAAGTCTAAAAGGTTTTCATCAACATTCAACAAGCCTGCAAAATGGGATTTCTGCTTGGAAAGCTCTTTCATCAGTGGTGGTGTCATTACAAAAGTATTTGAGAATAATTTGTCATTACATGCAGGAGTACATATACATTTTCCACCTGCTTGTGTTGTTGCAATCCCTTAATCTGGAAATTGTCATTATTATTATTGTGCTAAATTTTTGTTTCTTGGTTTTGTAACTGTCGAATTCTCCTAATATCTAGTAGTACTACTTTTCAGATATGAGTTCAAAACAAACCATGAAGAATGGGTTAAATATGTTAAACCAAGACTAGGGCCTGAGATTTCGCATTGTGTTCTTGCAGCAATCGACACTACATATGAGAATGTGAAAATTTTGTACAAAGTCAGAAGTGAGATGTGGGCTTCTCTGTAAAGTCTTCTAAATGTGCAGCTGCTTCTTTTCCCCCTTCCTCTTTTCTTTCTGCTTCCATTTGTTTCCACTCAGAAGGTGTTAAGTTTTTGTTCTTTGTTAAAGCTAATTACTGTTATTGTTTTCTATAAGAATGTCTACTATATACAAATGAAGTTGTCTCCCTGTTTATTGCCAGAGTACCTTTGGTACTATGACAACTTGATAGAATGCTCTTGCCTAGACATTATAAATGAACCATATTTCTATGCTTTGTTTTTAATCAGAGAGAGGAGCAGCTTGTATCTTATTGCAATTTAAACTTAAGGTCATGCTTATAGGAATATGAAATAACGAACAATTGTTGACAGTATTGAAGGGTTGTTAATCTTATATTTTTTGTTGTTTGACTTTCATCAGCTTAATTTTTTTTTTCTCAAAAGACCCATATAATGCGAAGTAAAAAGCTACTAACTTCAGTGCTTTTAATTAAGAGGATTGCAGATGTGGCTGAGGTCTAATGTCCTTTACTTCTGAACTAAATTGGTAAATTCATAGACCTCTTTAGCTGTTGGATATCTGAGACATGCTTATCGGTTTTTGGTTCTGTTAACACCGAGGCTAACCATATTTCAAAGGTGAATGTAAGATCAACTCACTGCTTTTTTCATAGTAAACTTTTTGATGTTTACAATTTATGAAGTAAACATGCATAGTAATCATTGTCAGTCTTGTGAAATGACTTAGAAGTGCCAGAAAAGGGGACGTTTGGCAGTTGGAATATTAACTATGATTACCGGGTTTTGCTTTGAAAGTTAAAGTTCTGTATGTTTCTGAACTTGCATTTCTTAAATGTTTATGAATGTCCAACATCAGAAGGATTTTATGTCGTTTTGGGGTTGTTGCAATAGATAATATGGTAGAAAAGACCAGAAGAATATATACTGTTGAATTTGGGTTTACTTTTATGGATCCAAAAGGATCTCAGATTTCTGATGCTTGTCTTGAACTGGTATGGGCTTGAATAATAGGATATGGCCTGGAATTGGATGATCTCATATGACCGAGTTATCTTTTTTGTTTCACCTGGATAATAGAGTCTGTTGTTTTGTAGCTTGGATATCAGTCATTCATTTATCCTTACAAACTTTTCCCAGATTTCTGTTCCATTAGGAAAGGATGATGGCTGTCCTGTTTCTGTTTCATTTGTCACAAACCATGGAGCGGATAAATTTCTTCTTGGTACAGTTTTTGATATGCATGCATTTCTGCAAGACCAAGTGAACATTGCATCCAATTCGGCACCATTGCCTGATGTCATTGAAGGAAAAGGTTTGACCACCTCTAATTCCTTTCAATATCTTAATTGTTTGATTTGCCTAACAAAATTTCTACATATCTGAGTGGTGTCATGGATTTGAAATTTGATCTTTGATTTTATTTGTTGGTGGTTGTCAGTTTACATCTTGACAGTTTATGACTTGTCCAAAATGAAGTTTTAGTTTGTCTGGTTGTATTCTCTTCTGGTCATAAGTTGTTTACTAAATGGCATATTACTTGACGAGTTTTTACATACTTGACAAGTAAAGTAGGAAGAATGCCTTCTTGTTACTGGGGATAGATGAGTTCTTGAACCTGTAAAGAAATAATGGATAACTGCACTCTTTTTTTCACTTGCTCAACTTCTGCTTTCTTCATGTTGCAACACTTGTAGGAACTAGCATCCAGCCTCTTGTGGAAAAAGGTATGTCATTTCCTTTTAAGTTCATCTATGGGCAACTTTGGTCATAAGCACTGGCACTTGATCTTTAGATCATTTAGTAGTATTTTCTGCATTAAATGCTGATAGAAATTATTTTCAGTTTCACTGTCTGGAGATATAGCACTTGTGATAATTTAAGGTCTAACATTCGTTTCTTATGAATATGTTGTCTGAAGCAATTAACATGTTGGTTTGATGTGAGGTTGCACTTGAGTTTTTATATAAATTTACAGAAAGTAATGTGAAGAAAAAAGGTTTGTCTTTATAAGTTTTTGTTGACAAGTTTCATTTCAGGGAAATGCTGCATTCAAGGGAATGCAATGGAATAAGGCTGTCAGGTACTTTAGTGAAGCTATTAAGTTAGATGGGACAAATGCAACATATTATAACAACAGAGCAGCAGCTTACTTGGAACTAGGATGGTATAATATCTCTAAGATTATTCACTCTTTTCATTGAATTGTTTTATGTCCACCTACTTGCTGGGGAACTGATTTTAGATATGTGGCTTCCAACAATCCGAAGAGGACTGCAGTAAGGCAATATCACTTGACAGAAAGCTAATTTAACAAACATGTGATAGTAACAATGATATTCTTAATGAAATAGCTACTCTCTGACAGTTAAAATAATGGAATTTAAAATGTGCATGCATACATGAGAAAATGCTGCTGTAGTCCAGTGGTGTTATTAATCAACTGATTTTTTGCTAAATGTGAATGTGTATCTGAGACGTGGGACAACCAGAGAATCACTACTGTGTTATAAAGAGGCTCTTGAAGGTCATAATACTTTTATAGTGCTTATTATGCCTCACATGTAATATAAGACTCATTTCCACCCTGCTAGCTAAAATTATTGATAAATACAACTAATTGTGCATTTCATATGCCTTTTTTTTTAGTTCTCTTTCAATGGCAACTATAGCAGATTAACAGTTGTATAAATTGCAAAATCTACACTTGTAGTATATGTTTGTTTTTCCCCTTTTCTCTCTCCTGTCCCCACTTTCACTTTCATCTTACTGATGAAATCTGATATTTGAACTTTAAAAAATTTGTGGGATAAAGGTGGGACAGTTAGCTTACACATAAAACTTGTTCTTCGTCATTTGGTTGGTCCATTCTGTTCATACCAGGTTTCCTACCTGATGTGGGGTTTGGGTTGGGAACATTAATGCAAACATACACAAGGAATAAGTGCCCTGGTAAATACAGTAAAGAGTTTTTGTTTGCATATGTAATATTGGAGATATGCCACGCACTCCAAAAGAGTAGGCAAGGTGTTTCAATTGTGGAGATAGGGTAATGGTCACGTGACAGTTGCGTACACACAGATGCATAGGACCATTTACTCAGTTGTTCGGGACACAAACTCCTCATGGTGTTCAAATCAGTCATAGAGTGTGAGCGGGATGAAATAGTTTTATAGTTGATACATATTTCACTCTGCAATTCTGTTACTCCCTCGTTCTTAGGACATATATTTTTTACCAGACATGATCTATTTTAATCTTATAACTTATGCGTGATACTGATGCAGTTATTTCTTGTTTTGACATTTTCAGATTTCAAACATGCTGTGGTTCTAAATCCACAAAATAAAGTTGCTAACCTCGCAGAAAAAAGACCAAGAAAACTGATTAATTGATTTGATACTCCCTTGCTCTCCTTCCATCTTGTCTGACAAATGACAAACCTTGATCAATGATGTGCACAATCCTCCTGCAATATCATCCCTTTGGATATAAATGAAAGTAAAAAGCTCGTTGATTAGAGGGTGCTGCCTGCCGCATTTTCTTTTTGCTCTAACTTTGTGTTTCTGTGTAATCAATATATGTTCATAAATAAAAAAAAATGAACCAATTAACGAACCGGGAAAGGATCTTTATACTTCGTTTGCTAGAAGAAAGGGAAGGGAAAAAGAAATAATTTAATGACAGTTACAAATATATATATATATATTATTATGAATTTCAATCATTAAATTAAAATTTTTTTCATCCTCATTTGCCGTTCTTCCTATTAAATAAATTTTGCTTTGTTAGAGAATAAAAAGAAGTGAAAAAAAAAATAATGCAATAAAAATTGTGTTTTAAAATAAATTTATTATTAATATTCATTAAAATTATTTTTCAATTAATTGTTATTTATATAAGATCATTAAATTTTAATTATAAATTATTTTTATAGTGCAAAGGTGTAAAAAAAATAGTAGAGCGGATTTTTACTGTCATGAATGACGACATTTTAATCAATGCTAAAAAAAAATAGTTCATCATCGGTGCTACATTTGGTGGAAATTCAAGTTTAGGGATAAATCTGAAAAAGAATTCTGAATTGGATGTCATACAACCTTGTGAATTATTTTTCCATACTAAAGTAAATTAAAATTATATATATACATATATATATATATATATATCTTTTCCTAAACGAGGTATTTTAAGCTACATCAATATCTGTAAAAGTTTAGTGGCCAAAATTGCCACACCCTCGATTGATTTTTTTTTTTTAATCAATTCTTTCTTTTTCTCGTTTCTTTCCTTCTCTCCATTTTATTTCATTGACTATGGCCACCAAGAAAAAGGATCAACCTTGCCTTGCTAACCTCTGAATTTCGCCCCTTCTAATTTTGAGTACGGGCAATCATCCATCGGGTGACTTTTATCTCTTCTATTTTCTGTGATTTAGAGAGATTTGTTAGAGCTCCTAGATTAATTCTCTTTGAGATTTGCATTTGGGTTAACAATACTTCAGTTTTTAGGGTTGCCATCCTTTGTAAAATATATATTTTTTTTTGTAAGAAAAATTCAAAGTAAATAATTTATTCAATCTTTTAAATTATGATAAGATTTGTCATATTTGACAGTTTAAAATAAATAATTGTAGGTCATGCATTCGAGATAATCCAACAAGTAACCACTATCAAAACTCGATCCCAAGACTTCTTCGTTGAGTAGAATAAACTTTATCCAAATATTGTAATCTAATATAAGTTCTTAAACTTATCTCTTTTGGCTATTCTTTTTTTTAATTTATTAGTTCATCAATCTCTTATTTTATTTATTTAAGAAATGGCATGAGTCATATGCTTTGCTTTTATTATAGTAGTGGATTCTTTACATAAAAAAAAATTCATCAAATTTGATTATAAAGTATTGATTCACATAAAAGAGAAGTTATTGTAATAAGAATTATTGAAACAAATTTCTATAGCAAGGATTCTTATTCAATGAAGAAAGTTCAAATCTGCATTTTTTTTTTCAAATAATAAATTAATTCAATTAAAATATCGTCCTTAGACTTTCTCTCATGAATTATAAAATATAAAACAAATACAAATGTTTTGAACTTGAAATAATTTAAAATCAAATTGATCAAAAAATAAAATAATATAAATTTAAAGTGATCTGATTCAAAATAATTCAAAATTTTCCTTAATCTTTAACTAGAAATAATTATTTTATCCAAAATAATACGACCATAAATGAATGATCCAATTCGATCCATGTATTTGCAACCTCTAGCTTGACCTTATTAAGGGTCCCGCATGAGTTAGCTAAGTTAGTATATAACGCTTCATGAGCCATGCAGCTAACCAAAAATTGAATGCGATAGGGGCATTTAACCTCCCACTTAATCATCCATTTAAAATATTCCACTTGATTATCCAAAACTGTTTCTTCAGGTAATAGATTGGCAGACAAATGCCATTGCCATTTAACATTAATCTCATTTCTCACTCACAGATTCAGCTACAGCACGGTCACTTTTTTGAAGATTGGACAGTTAGTTATTTGGAACAGTGATATTTGGATTTTTATAATATAAATAATGAAGTAAGCTATAGATAGAGTTATATATTAGATTATTATAGAAATTGACGTATAACTATAAGTTTGTGTTGGTTGGATAGTTTAAAAGTTCTTGTCGGCAATTTGGGCCACTCATATACTTTGACTGAATTGATTGACGGTAAGTAATTGATTTTTTTAGATATATAGTAGAATTCAAAAGCCATTGTATTGTTCATGTTTTTTAATAATAATTTGCAATTGTGAACCTTGCTGTTTTATTTTAATATTTTTTAGTAATTACTTATGTCATACTATCATTGTTAGATGAATATATAATAAAAATACATTTATTTTTTAGTATTATGAAGGGATATGATCGGAGGGATTTATAATTTTATATATGCACAACCAATAATAATCAATCCTTAGCTATTTGATTGGAATCATGGTAGGTACCAACATCTTTTGTCATCCAGATTTTCTTGGTATTCATTTTCTTCCTCAGCCTGTAAAAGGAAAATCTCAGGTAGGGAAGATTTTGGTCATAAAAGGAGGCTTCCGCTTTGTTTCAGCTTCAGCCCTGAAAAAAAAAAAAAAAAAAAAAAAGATCATCTCAACAATTTTTTCAGAAAGAAAGAAAGAAAGAGATGGCTTCCAAACCTCATGCTGTATGTGTCCCATATCCAGCTCAAGGTCATGTAAACCCAATGCTGAAGCTAGCAAAAGCCCTTCACCATAAAGGCTTTCACATAACTTTTGTCAACACCGAGTATAACCATAAACGGCTTCTCAGATCCAGAGGCTCAAATTCACTTGATGGTTTGCCAGATTTTTGCTTTGAAACCATTCCGGATGGCCTCCCACCATTGGCTGCTGATGCAACCCAAGACATTCCTTCTTTATGTCATTCCCTTTCAACCAACTGCTTGGACCCGTTTCGTGAGCTCCTTTACAAGCTCAATCACTCTACATGTTCAAATGGGCCCCCCGTTACCTGTATTGTTTCAGATGATGCCATGTCATTCCCTATTGAAGCAGCTGAAGAATTTGGCATTCTTGGCGTACGTTTTTGGACAGCAAGCGCTTGCTCATGTGTTTGCTATTCTCAGTTTCCGCGTTTGGTTGAAGAAGGGTTAACTCCTGTCACAAGTACAATTCTCTCTTCACTTTCAAATCAAAAAATAATTTTTATATAGTTTGGTTTGGTTTATAACATTATAAATGACTGAGATATTGTCGTTTAGGCTGTTCTGTTGCATTGCTTACAGTACTTGACGTGACTTCTGTTTGGAAATCGTAGGTGCAAATGGTATAACAAATGAATATTTGGATACTGTCATAGAGTGGACTCCTGGAATGAAAAATATACGTTTTAGGGATTTTCCAAGTTACGTTAGAACTACGGACCCGAATGATCGGATGCTCAATTATCTCCTCAAAGAAATCCTGGGCGATTATAAAGCATCAGCTTTGATTTTCAACACATTTGACTCGTTAGAGCAAGACGCTTTGAATACTATGTCCGCCATCCACGTTATTCCTGTTTACAGCATTGGTCCTCTTCATTTACTTGCTGATCAGATCAGAGATGATAAATTGGAACAAATTGATTCAAATTTGTGGACAGAACAACCTGAATGTGTCGACTGGCTCAATTCCAAAGAACCAAACTCTGTGCTCTATGTAAATTTTGGTAGTGTGGCAGTAATGACTCCTGAACAGCTAATCGAATTTGCTTGGGGTCTAGCTAATAGCAAAAAGCAGTTTTTGTGGATAATAAGGCCTGATCTTGTCACGGGTAAGGCAGCCATTTTGCCACCTGAATTCGTCTCCGAAACTAAAGATAGAGGCAAGTTAGCGAGCTGGTGTCCACAAGAACAAGTCCTAAAGCACCCATCGGTAGGAGGGTTCTTATCTCACATGGGATGGAATTCAACAATCGAAAGTATATCTGCTGGTGTGCCAATGCTTTGTTTGCCATTTCTTGCAGATCAGCAAACTAACTGCCGGTTTGCTTGCAGGGAATGGGGTATTGGCATGGAGGTTGATAACAATGTAAAGAGAGATCAAGTGGAGATACTTGTGAGGGAGTTAATGGAGGGAGAAAAGGGAGTGGAAATGAAGGCAGAGGCCACGGAATGGAAGAAAAAAGCAGAGAAGGCTTCCAGGCCTGGTGGTTCTTCTTTCAAGAACTTGGATAAACTGTTAACCAACGTTCTTTCGTCAGATAAGAATATGTATCATAACAAACATTAGAAGTCTCCCCCATGAAATTTGTACCTGAAGCTCGGATTGTGGGGGTCAAATTTACAAAGTATTTCTCTAGGGAATGTTGTCATGTCCGAGTAGCTTTCTGCTAATAATTAAGATGGGTAACTTAAAAATAAATTGTTGTGATTTGATGAAGTAGTAACTGTTAAAGAAGCTTTGCAATAACTAAATGGTAGCGGTAAAGGGATGGAACCGAGTTAATTTGGATTAATTCTTGCTTTTACCCTTTGTTTCCCTTACCTTCTGTTAGGGGTGTGAGTCATCAATTAGAAGAAAATAATTTTATCAATTTGACTTGACATATTCAATTAACTTGAAATATCAAATTTTACCTCAACTTGATCACTTTAACTAATCACTTATATTATATAAAAATATTAATTTATCATCTTTGAATTAAGACGTTGATTGTCAACTAAATTCGGATAAATAATATTAATTTTAATTTTATCACTTAAAATTTGAATTATTTAAACTCGATACTTTTATCACATAATATAAGAAATTTATCTTGAATATTATTAAACCGATTAAATTCTCATATCTATTTTTAAGTTTTTTCATTTTTTTTTACTTTTAACACTGATTTAAATATTAGAATATAAACATCAAAAATATCTTCGACGTTTATTATTAATCAATGCCCCACTTTGTTATTTAAAATTTTTGTTCTTGTCAAAACAATTTCCCTGGAATAAGTAATGACAACGTAAAACACATGGAAGGATGAAAAATTCCCTGGAATTTTCAGCGAAAGTGTTTGTGGAATGCCCCGGGGGGGGGGGGGGGGGACCATTATTTTACACAATCATGATATGAGACAAAAAAGCTCCATGGTTAAGATCATGACATACGACACGAATCACGTCGCATCATCGTATAATGAAAGCATTGATAAGTTGATTCACCACTTCAAATCACTACCTCCTCCCATTATTATTATTAATTTTTTTTGAATTTCTCTTTTGACTTTTGGTCTGACTGCTATTTCATTTATAGAAAAAGAAAAAAAAATTCCATGTTTAATTTCCATAAATAATATTCTCGAATGCTTTACACTTTTTTTTTTGGATCAATATCTATCTTTGCATTTCACATTACCTACGTTACACATTATACGTTACTAATAAGACAAAAAAGCTCAATGTAATGTTAAGATCATGACATACGACACGTATCACGTCGCATCATCGTATAATGAAGGCATTGACAAGTTGATTCACCACTTCAAATCACTACCTCCGGTTATTATTATTATTATTATTATTATTTTTAATTTCTCTTTTGACTTTTGGTCTGACTCCTATTTCATTTATAGAAAAAAACAAAAACAAAAATTTCCATTTTTAATTTTCATAAATAATATTCTCTAATGCCTTACACTTTCTTTTCGGATCAATATCTATTTATGCATTTCACACTACTTACGTTACACATTATACATTACTAATAAGATAAAAAAGCTCCATGTAATGTTAAGATCATGACATACAACACGTATCATGTCGCATCATCGTATAATGAAAGCATTGACAAGTTGATTCACCATTTCAAATCACTATCTTCGGTTATTATTATTATTTTTTTTTAATTTCTCTTTTGACTTATGGTCTGACTCCTATTTCATTTATAGAAAAAGAAAAAGAAAACAAAATTTTCCATTTTTAATTTCCATAAATAATATTCTCGAATGCTTTACACTTTTTTTTCGGATCAATATCTATCTATGCATTTTACACTACCTACGTTATACATTATACATTACTAATAAACATGTGGTTATAGTCAGTGCCAGAGTAAAAAATTTTATGTAATGGAAGTTTAATTTAAATAATAATAAATTATAAAAAACAACAATAACAATATAATAATATTAAAAAAATATTTTTATATCTAATTATAATTATTAAAAATTTTATTATTATTTTTTAAAGCCATTTTATATTTTAAAAATGTTATAAATAAATTTATTATCTATATTTTTGAATATATTTTTTTAATATATAAAATTAAATTATCATTTAATCATCAATGTTTTATTTAATTATATAAACAAATATTCAAAATATTTACTTAAAAAAATTTCTCTCGAAAATGAGTAATAATCTTAATAACAATTAAACTGATCCAATAAAAACTTTTTAAATTTTATTAATATACGTATAATGTCAAAATATTTTTGGCCTCGACAGGGCCTTGAGCTCCACTAGACCCTACTGGCTAAACCCCCACTAGACCCATGAGCCTCCGCTCACGGCTATAGGGAGACTAGGTTTCAAGTTTTAGCTGCCACAAGCATGCGTGCAGGAATCAAAATATAGCAGATGTAATCTTAAGGTTCATAAAGGAATCTGGCCCATCCCATCTTTTTTTTCGATTTTTTTTTTACTTTTTGTTTTTTAACTTGGTTTTTTCATTTAAAATTTTCATTTTATTTTTATTAAATAAATTATATATATATATATATATAAAATAGAATTAGAGATTTTGATTTGTTTCAATCCAATTAATGTATTTATTTTTTAAAAAAATCAAGATCAGTTCGAGGTTTAATTCTAATTTTTAAATTTAAATCGATTTGGAGATAGATTTAAGATGTGTTGTCTTATTTAGAGTATATATAAAAAAAATTTATTATTTTTTAATTTTATATTTATATATGTATTATATTAATAAAATTATTATTTAATATCTTAATTTAATAAACTCACATGACATCTTATTTAACTTTTTTTTGTCTTTTTATTTTTTATTTTTACTTTTTTTAATTAAATAAATTTTGTAAAAAAAAATCAATAAAAGTAAAGATAACAAAATAACTCATATTTGATGGGTTTTGATTTACCCTAATCTAATATGTACGATTTTTTAAAATCCAAGATCAGACCAAGATTTTTTTAAAAAAAAAATAGGGTCAGGAGGAATTAGTGAAAGTAAAAGTATCAAAATAACCCATATTTGATGGTTTTGACCCATCAGTGCAATAAATTAAAGATCATTTTTTTAAAATCGAAATCGGGTCAAGGTGGAATGATTTATCTTTTTTAAAATCAAGGAAAATTGGAGCCAAGTTTAGGATGTTTTATCCCATCCCATTTCACTTTATCTCAACCTCTCAGGTATAAATAAGAATATATATTTTATTACTAATTTAATTTAATTTATATATATTATATTAATAAATTTATTATTTAATACATTAATTTAATAAATACTATATTTATATATAATTAAGATATAATTTATATTGAAAAATTATACTTTATGAATGTTATACTATTGAATTGATTTTTAATCAAATCAAACGAGATGTGGGTTATACATATATATATATATATGTTGAGTCGGAGTTGAGTATGAAAAATAATAATTCAATACCGGGTCAGAGTTGGGATGAACATATATCCACTCTTACTTGATCCTTTACAATCCCTATGTAGAGGTATTCATATGCCATCCTTAAATGATTCATTTTCATTTTTTTTCCTTTTTGCTTGGGCCTTTCTTTTATTTACTTTTAATTTTTTCAATTATCTATTTTAATATTTTTAATTATCCTTAGAAAAATAAACTTGAAAGAATAAATTTGTATTTGATTTGTTATACAAATGTTAGGGGCATTTTATGATCATAAAGGTAGTATGGACTTCCTTTTAGAAAGTGACTAATCAACAAAGCATTGGCAATTTTATCATTTTAACTCAAGCTTATGTGTGGAGCTGACCTGAAGTTTCACAACTCATGTCAACTCGACCACCTTAACTTACCACTTAAAGCCATATGGGAATGCTGACTTGTTGCTCCTTAATTAGACTATGGCCTACTAGATTAAGTCAAGCTAGCAACATTAGCCCTAGACCTGTTATTCAAAACTTGGGTTGCCCAGGCTCGACACTTTCACCTTACACGTATAAATAGCCCTCTCTCACTAGGTAGAGACATTCAATTTTTTTTTCTCTCTTTTTAAGATATCTCTCATTCTTTTTTTTTTTTTTGAGTAATGACTTGAGTGTTAAGTACAAATGCTAGTGAAACCTCAGGCTTTTACTTTTAACCAACCTTTAAACTTGTGATTTCAAATTATTGCCCTCGTCGAACAATTTAGCACTAACATTTTTGGTGCACCAGGTAGAGAGCTTTTTAATTATAGTCGAGTTAATCATGGCTTCTATGAAGAGAATGGGCAAAGAAGGAGATAACGCCACTGCAATTGGAACTACACCTAACTTTGCCAACAAAACCTTGACCAACTTGCATAAAGAGTTTCAACCATGGAGCAATTTGAAGCCTTCACCCAACAGTTACAATCATTAAAGGAAATTATACAAACTTAACTCCCTTACAAATTTTAAAAGAACTAAATTCTACAATCTCAAAAAATCTACCAACATAAAAGTTACTAACCTATGATGATAGTACCACTTTATCGACCTCTGAAAAAGATAAAATACCCAGAAGCAACTACTTCACAAATACCCAAACACAAACCAACACCCAAAAATCCAAACAAGTCATCTCGGAACCACAACCTAATGAAGACTTGAAAGCTTGAATGAAGGCAATGGAGAAAGAGTTAAAGAATTAAGTCTCTACTTTTGATGATGAGCTTAAATTTTTAAAAACATCTTCATTTATCGAGAACATTAATCGAACATTGTTATTAAAGGGGTTTAAGATGCCCACACTTAAAACTTATGATGATACTACTAATCCTTTTGATCACCTCGAGCTTTATCAAACTAACATGTCAATATAGGGAGCCGATGAGCCTTTAATGTGTAAAAGGCTTGCTACAACTTTCTAGGGGCAGCTTGGTTATGGTACACCAACTTGGAACCCAGATCTATCTCAACTTTTAAACAGTTTGATTATTTTTTCTTAACCTACTTTGTTAGTAGCCGATGAATAAAAAAAACAACATTGAGTTTGATATCTATCTAACGAAGATAAAATGAATTCTTGAAAAATTATGTCGTGTGTTTTAATACCGAAACTCTTTAAGTGGGGAACTTAGGATAAGCTACAGCTGTGGCCATCATGACAAGTGGGTTGAATGATAATGAGTATCACTTTAAGCTCACTATCTCTTTTGAACC